CCGACCTTTGTAACGGCCAGTACCTGTCGACTGCCCTACGTAGGCCATAGGTGGTGGGCACGTCTATCAAAAAAAAAAAAATGAATATATAAAACTAGAAAGGTGAGGAACTCAGCCCCTACCAGCGGCTGGCAAAATTGAGGTAATTTTGTTTGAAGTGTCACAGAAATTGTATCCGCTAAAATCCTTCCCACAGCGTAGTCTCGATCGAAAGTAGGGACATTAATCTTTAAATAACACCCATTATATATCTTCAAAACAGTGTAGTTATTTCGTAAGCAGTTTCGAAGCTCGCGAAAATCACCGATTTGTGTTACCTCGGACACGATCCGGAACATTTTTTCGAAACAAATTCTTCATTCGGTACACAGAATAGCGGACGACGTAACATTAATAAACCATTGTATACTCAAAGATAAGGTCAAAACAAACTTGCTTACTTGTTTTACGCACCACTAAATTTCTCCTCTCGTGTCCCTCAAGTATTTTCTCCGCAAGATTTCACATCAGCCCTCCTTCGTCCACCATCTTGGAGAATTTTATAATATGCAAGCTGATTGGTCGAGCTATTTTCGTCTATTTTTAACCGGCCGTTAGACCAATCAGCTTGCGTGTTACATATTATAAAATTCTCCAAGATGGTGGACGAAGGAGGGCTGAATGTGAAATCTTGCGGAGAAAATACTTGAGGGACACGAGAGGAGAAATTTAGTGGTGCGTAAAACAAGTAAGCAAGTTTGTTTTGACCTTATCTTTGAGTATACAATGGTTTATTAATGTTACGTCGTCCGCTATTCTGTGTACCGAATGAAGAATTTGTTTCGAAAAAATGTTCCGGATCGTGTCCGAGGTAACACAAATCGGTGATTTTCGCGAGCTTCGAAACTGCTTACGAAATAACTACACTGTTTTGAAGATATATAATGGGTGTTATTTAAAGATTAATGTCCCTACTTTCGATCGAGACTACGCTGTGGGAAGGATTTTAGCGGATACAATTTCTGTGACACTTCAAACAAAATTACCTCAATTTTGCCAGCCGCTGGTAGGGGCTGAGTTCCTCACCTTTCTAGTTTTATATATTCATTTTTATTTATTTTTTGATAGACGTGCCCACCACCTATGCGTAGGCCTTGAACCCGCGACCCAGTGGTGGTAGGCTAGTGGTAGCAGAATGTCAGACATCTTAACCATGCACCTGGCCATCGCCATTTTTAAATTTTGTTATTCGTTAAGTTTTAATTACAGTCAGCTGTGCCATATACCAGCAATGGACTAATACAAAAGTTATCACAAATCATGTTATTGATACCAAACTTTTATTTGCATATTATATAACTGACAACAGAGGAATCTGTAAAAAGTCATAAAGTCAGAATAAAATCTGCGTATGTTAATGAATAAATGCACAAACATTTAAACAAAATGTTTCAATAATTGTGAAACAAGTTCTAAAAACTTATTAAACACTCTAGTTGGATCGGATATGTTATAAATTATGTGGCTGATTTTGATATTGCATAAGATTACTGTCGCCTAGCTACATTCTATTAAACCTGAAATCTCTGAATGGCATCCTAGCTATACGGAGAGATGCGCCGAGACGAGGTTGTCCTTGCCCGTCTCCAGATGGGTCATTTACTGGAACGTCAAGATCAGCCTCAATGCATAGCGTGTCAGGAACCATTTACAGTCAACTCGAGAAAATTTCTATCATAGCGTTACATGTCTTAAAGCTCTTTTCGAAAAAAATACTGTCACTACGATTTTAGACTATCTCATTCTGAAAGCTTTTGGTCTTCTAAATAAAATATGAGTCACCATTCAATAAGTTTTAATAGGATATTAGTGGACGCAGGCATTGCTGCCTCTATATCCACATTAATATAATTTGAAATACGACGTGGTAAACATAAAATAAGCCTATATATAAGACGCTGCATGACTGTACTTCAACTCAAGATCTTACCAGAATTCGTCCAAGTTTTTCTCAAAGTCGAATACGTTACAAGATGAAATAACATCTTGTGGGAAACTATTCCAGATGTCAATTATTCTTTGAGTAAAGTAATGTTTTCTAATATTTAAATGGCAATGTTGCTCGAGTATATTTTTACTGTGTCCACGAGTTTTTCCTTGAGAGGCGAGATCGAACAATCCCTCCAACCAATTCGGATCATATAACCCATTCAGCCGCGCAAGCGCCTGTAGGTATAGTCTCTCGCCGTAGCTAATAGTTTTAAATCAGGGGAGTAATTTGTAGATCTTCTTCTGAATTTCGTGTGGACTCCAAACACTTGCAGCGTACTCTAAATGAGGTCGAACAACCACTTTAAAGAGATTTGTGAACATTTTTTTCATCCAAATATACAAATGTATAGCTAGTTGGATATGTGTTGTAAAGCCCAAGTCCTGGGCTACTACAACCCCTAAATCTTTTTCCGATGCAACGTTTTCCAATGCTATACTTTCTCTCCCCTTGTCCGTTAGATGATATCGTGGTTCTCTCTTTTTATGTTTTGTTGACACGGTCATAACTTAACACTTTTTAGGATGGAAACTTAATAGCCACTTATCCGACCATTTCATCAAATTGCAGATATCATCTCGGAGTAAGCTTTCATCGGTATCATCAGCTATTGTTCTGTACAACTTAGTGTCATCAGCAAACATAAAGATTGGCGAAGATGTGCACTCCGGTAGGTCGTAAATGTATATGACGAAAATTATTGGACCTAGCACACCTCCTTGGGGTATTCCACTAATGACTGTAAGTTCTGCTGACGATGTCCCATTTACAATCAATCTCTGTTTCCAATTACTCAAAAAAGTGTACGTAATCCATAACTTCTGATTTAATTCAATAGACGTCTGTGTGGAACTTTAAAGAACGCTTTCATAAATTCGGTGTAAACAACATCCAATTCTTTATTTATCTGAAATTTGAGTCCAGTCATCCGTGATTTTAAGCGATTTAAGTACTGTTGACCTCCCAGATAAAAATCCAAATTGCCTATCTACAAATAAATAAATAATAAATATACAACATTTGATATAGCGCCCTATCTAGCTAACATAAGCCACTCTAAAGCGCTTTACAGTACATAGATATACAATTTTAATACAGTCAATACAATTAGCATATATTCGCAGGAGCTGCCTTATCAGGCGCTAACTACTAGTCCTATGCTACCCGGCCAATATCTCCCTATGTGTGTATGCCTGTGTGTGTGCTGGAGATGTGTTGTGTTCTGTTTGTAGTGGGACCGTGTTTCCAACGGTATCATTTATAGTGCCACCTCAATTGAATGCTACAGCACAGATACCGCAACACCCACCCCAGACCATTCTATACTCCACCTGGGTCGTTGGAGTTGTGTGGGCAGGAGAAAAACACTTTCTCTAATATTCAATGCGTCCGGCGACTTCGGGGATCGAACCTCGGCCGCCTGCTTGGAAGGCCGGAGTGTTAACCACTCGACCAATCAACACCATTTTACTTCGTACTTTTTTACTTTCCATAGTTTTACAGACAACACTTGTTAGACTAACTGGTCTATATACGTAGTTTCCCGGATCTGACCTATTACCTTTTTTTAAAAATATATTTGCTTTTTTTCTATGCATGATTGAGGGACAGTTACTTCTTGAAGAGAGGTATTGAAAATAGTTGTCAACTGTTTACAAATTCTTTTAACAATTTAGAATGTACCATATCGGGACCCTGTGGTTTACTTGGATTTAACTTTAATAGTTCCTTTCTTACGCTTTCTTCTGTTATATCACTTTCGTGATATTCCATATGAAGTATCGGATAGGTTCTGCTGTAGACGTCCGCTTTATCCTGATCTGTAACTACAGTTATGAGTTTTCCGTTTTAGAAATTAGATCAGCAATACTTATTTTCACCTCCCGCTTTGAGTTCACATACTTCCAAAATAATTTAGGGTTTTGTTCAGCATCATTAAAAATGTCTATCTCCATGGTTTGCATTTTGCGTTGGTTTGCATCTATTTCCTCAACATGCTTTTCACTTTGTTGCGACATTTAGTATAATTTCTGTACTTTTTCTTCATCTCTGGTTTCCATGTATCTTTGCCAAAGTCTGTGTTTTTGCTTAATCCTATCCACAATAGTTTTTTCAAGGGGAATACATGTATATGCCTTGCCACGTTTCGATATTGGAACGTGTTTGGTTATACAAGCGGATAAAATTTCAAGGAATTGCTCATTTATATGATTAGAATCACCGTTTAGTACGTTTTGCCAATTGACGTCCATATCCTCCATCATTCTTCGGAAGTCCGCCTTTTTATAATTAGGCTCGCAAGTTGATTTATTAACGTGACTAGTGTTTCCATAGCAAACAAAGCTGTACTCGAGTACCAAGTGATCACTATGACCCAGGGGACTCTTATATTTAATAACCGTGACCATTTCTTCTTCGTTAGTTATAATTAGATCTAAAGTACTATAGGTTCTGAATTATAACTACATGCAGAGGTAAAAAAAAATGTCTCTTCAATTCTCTTTAAAATCCTCACTCTCCTGGTCCGATGTTGTATTCCGAGACTGCCAGTTTAATTAGTTTTGGAAAATTAAAGTCTCCCAGTACCATGATATGCGAGTAGCCACTTTCAATATTCAAATTGACGTTTATCTTTTACCTTTAGGTTTGTTTGATGTTTGTATTATGTTTTGTCGACCATTTGGTGGCCCTAATGACCTATCCTGATGGGGCATTTAACATTAATAATATAAATTCTAGCTTAATTCGCGCTTAAGAGTTTTCCCTAAATAACTCAATCAGTAGATCTAAGCTTAGGGTGGCGGACTGGGAAGCTGGGCGCGCGGGTTTTATCACAATATACACATACACTAGAATCTACTCATATTCGTTACTTACTGGTAAGTTACTTCAATTTATGGAAATTATTATGTATATCCGACGGGCATTATTTTCAGGTGTCGAAAGAAACAAGACACCGTAAATGGATCGGAAGTGTACCTATTTTGAGCATGCGTGTTGATGAGAAGTAAGCAACATGGCCGCCCGACTGTTCCGAATTGCCAATCCGGCATCGAAAGTCCTCGCCGTCTCGAAACAGGTTGTAATTATGTGAACATTTTCACTTCAATGAGTTCAGATAACACATTTCAAAGAGTGGCTTTCTTTTCAATTAAGGATACTGGTGTAAAGAGAAAGGTTGACATCGTTTACATTTACCGGTGTGAAGGTCACTCTGTCATCGCTTTTTCGCAGTCATGTAACATCGTGTTTCAAGTTGTCCTTATCCTTTAAGTATTTTAAAGGATTGTGTGATTTCCTTACTGGATAGAAAGCGAAATCGCACCATATAAGCTTTTGTCCAATATATACTGTAAACTATTCAAACATTTTAAACAAGAAATATCTATTAAAATATGAATGGCCATGTTTTAATGTTCTGGGTAACTTTGAAACTGTGTAGAGACTCAAGTTATTATTTCAGTACTTCACAGTAGGGCCGAGTACCTGAACACGGTTCGGCTTTCATAGGAATCCAGGTCTTAAAATACACCCAGGTACTCGTCAAAATAGGTTACTGTCTGTGACTGTCGGAGTGTCAATGTCATCAAAGGAAAATGATGTCCCCACCCTTCTTCTTCTTCATGATGCAAAAACTTAATCCCAAATCAAACTTAAAACTGATCTTTGAAGTAAGTGACTGGCAAAAATGTATATAAATGTAGTCAATTCGAGATGGGTATTTCGCTAAACCCACTATGCAACACAAAAAGGGAGTAATTATATATCAAGACTTTAAATATGCTTAATGTATACAAGGAATTTTGCTTGAGCATTGGTCTGGATATCACTTTATTGAGCTTCTTTAACAATTCATTAAATCTTCTCAAAGCCATCTCAATTCTTCACCTGATGTACCTGAATTGACCATAGCCCGATTCAATCATTAAATGTCATCCCTCGATTGAGAGGATTTACCCTTTCACAAATGTTGGTGATGGTCTCTTAGACTATAATTGTGTGCTATATAGGTGAAATCCTGCAGGGCCTTTCCTTAATTCTCACACATGTTTATTTGTTACTAGTTTAACTCTTTGAATTTGTTTGTTTCATGTTAGACATCATTATTTCACAACTGTAGTTTGATGTCTGCCCCAGAACAATATGACTTGTTACTTCGAACATTTCAGAGGGTGTCTTTTGTTACATCGATATATTCTCGTTGCAGAATCCTGTGAAGTGGCAAGTGGCGAGAGCTAGCTTCACTCCTTACCAGCAAGCTATATTGAACCTACCTGAAACAAAAGTTACAACACTTGATAATGGATTCAGAGTAGCCACAGAAGATTCTGGGGATCCTACCTGTACTGTAAGTTTGTATTTTATGATTTTGTGAAGGTACTGTGAAAAGTCCATGTAAAGTTCGTTTTTTTTAGTTCTTTTTAATTTTCATATGTATAAACTATTCTGTTTTTGGTGGTAGTCTAAGAATACATTGATGAAATATTGAAATCCTTTTAAGGGCCATGATAAGATTCAGCACATATTGGTTAACTGTGTTTGTTGTGTAGCACTCATTTTTTTTTTTTTTAATACGGATTAGTATTAAGGTAAGTGATTTACGTTGTGGCTCTGAGAGACTGCGCAATTGCTCGACGTAAAATAGCCACTTTCAGAAACTCAGTTTTAAGTATGCATACATACGCAATGGAAATAGTGAAATTTTTCTAGTGTTGTTAAATCTTTCCTCATTACAGGTTGGTGTCTGGGTTGACGCTGGAAGCCGATTTGAAAATGCGAAGAATAATGGAGTGGCTCATTTCCTTGAACATATGACATTTAAGGTAGTTAAAAGGTTTACATCAAAAGATACCTTCCTGTACAAAACATTTGGTTTGGTTTGTTTGTGTTTTACGTCCTATCAACAGCTATGGTCATTTAAGGACGTGCCAGGTTTTGTTGGTGGAGGAAAGTCAGAGTTCCCGGAGAAAAACCACCGACCTACGGCCAGTACCTGGCAACTGCCCCATGTAGGCCTCGAATCTGCGACCATGTACTAAAGAAACTATGGCTAGCTATCATCAACACTTCAAGCATAATTAGGCTAATTGAAATGTTATGTTTATTTACCAGGAACATGGTTGGTTTGTTGTAATGTTGTGATGGTTTATATTTGAAAATTATCTAATAACTTTTATAAAATAATGCAGCTGCTCTGTCTTCTTAAATAGAAAAAGAAAAACTCAGGTCACTGGTGTGCTCACAGTTACTTTTCTGAATAAAAAGCTGATTAACATAAATATCCATTCCAATTAGCGTCATTTCAAACAAATTTTTCCAAATTTTGAATTTTGAAGTGGAATTTTCTGAATAATCAGAAATATTTTAATGTTGAGAAGTATAATCACAGACTCCAGAGCTTATTTCTGTTTTTACTTATTCTGGATAATCATCATGTGAATCGGGATTATTGATATTTTACTGCACCAGATAATGCAAACTACAAATATTTGTTAACCTTTCCTAGCAAATCATTACGACACGTTGCTAATAATCAGCTAGTAAAGTTGAGGTAGTGTGTTTTTGAATTTCTACCACTACTTTAGTTTGGTTGTTTGGATTCTTGTAATAGTTTGCTTGTTTTGGTTGACAGGGAACAAAGAAAAGGTCCCGCCATGATCTGGAACTTGAGATAGAAAACATGGGAGCCCACCTCAACGCCTACACGTCCAGAGAGCAGACTGTCTACTATGCTAAATCCTTCTCCAAAGACCTCGGCAAAAGTATGTCTCATTGATTGCACTTCTTACCCAACATTTAAACACAATTTAGTATTTCACCTTGTGATAGGTATATATAGGTGTCAGACCTGTGAATTTAGCTCAACTGGCAATATATACCTCAGATTATGTGAGTGAGTAAGAATTTATTTGATGATAGCTCTACAGGTCCCAGGGGCGATTTTTTTTCCTTGATAATGAAGTTACTTATGTAAATAATTGCTATAATCTTGTATAGTAACTTTTGTTACAGCATATCAGTAATCCATTGTGAATACATGGAAAGTTTGAATGGTTTTGAATTCAGAACATCAAATGAAATTATCAGCCTTTTTCAGAATTTTAGTGTAAAATCAAACTTAATAGAAAGGGTTAAAATGTTAATTTTCAACCTTTTGTCCGTAACACCATTTCTACCTCGGGAACATTGATGTTGATGTTCATTTATATTTGTATAATAAATCCCTTTGATTCCAGCTGTGGAGATCCTTTCGGACATCATGCAGAACAGCAGACTAGCCGAATCTGACGTAGAAAATGAGAGACCCACTATCCTCAGAGAAATGCAGGTACAGTGATTTTGCCATGAACACGTGTCATGATGTCAAATCCAGGACAAGTTCAGTTGTTGTACATATTTTTGTCCTTTCTGGTATTTGTCTTAAACCTGAGTTTGGATATGTTGAATTTTGAAGAAAAGGTAAAAAGTGACCAATATTTTTCACATTTGTATCCTGAAAGGAACCAGTGTGCGCTTTGCTTTTATTGTCATGTACGAAGCGTCATCTGTTAATTAAAAATAACAAGACCTAAAAGTTCAAATAATATCTTTCGTATAGTATTGATAATATAATCTACCATTGCTTTTTAGGAGGTAGAAACCAACCTCCAGGAGGTTGTCTTTGACCACCTTCATGCTGTTGCCTACCAAGACACACCTCTAGGACGCACTATCCTTGGACCCACAGAAAATATATTGTAGGTTCTACAAAAGTCATGGGCTGGGTTATTTCTTATTCTAATCTCCAATCTAGATAGAAATGTCCTTGTTAAAATTGCATCAAACCTGGTACATATTGATATTAGGCATTGTAAAGAGCACTCAGATATGTTTAAAAGAGTAGGCTGGACTATTTAGTAGCCCCACAAGGGGAGGGATTTGAAGAATTAAAAAAATGTATTTTTAGAAAAAATAACTTTAATTTGGATTTAGCATAAACAAGATGTGAACATTCAAATTTGATAATTGATAGATATTTCTGATTTTTATTCATTATTTTATACTTCAGTCTTAATTTTGTTGTTTTAATGCCAAATAACTCGAAATTGATTAGTACTTCCATATGTGATGTCAGAGATTGCTCTGGGAGGGGATTCGGTGACGTTAACACAATTTAATTTTTGTATATGGTTCGTTTACCTAATAGGAGATTTCTTAAACATTGCTTCCTTAAAAATTTGCCAACAAAATTGGACCTAATAAAGTGGTAGAAATTGTAACCTGGACCCTGCTATTTAGATAACACTGTTATGTTGTAGGTCAATTAACAGGGATGACATTACAGAGTTTGTAAAGGACCACTACTCACCTGACCGTATGGTACTGGCCGGGGCTGGAGGTAAGATTTGATATACACATCAAGCAAATCTTCCAAACTGTGAGCCAATTAACAATGTAAACAGTTAATACTTACACAAAATATTTACACAAGAAGTAGTCCAAAGTTGTGCAATGGTTTGAAAACACATGCTTTCTTGATCAAAGCTTATTCTCGAAACTAATTTTGTTTTACTTGTCTTGCTAATCAAATCATTGTTAAGACACCCTGTTTAGATACCAGTAGAAAGATCGGTAAAACAGGGCTAGATTCTAGAATGAACAGAATCTGGATAAGGCAGAGTTACAGTTCTTCGTATGAAAGAGAAATTGTCAAAAGCGGATAACAAAACCAGTAAAGACGGGAATTCAGATTAAATGGAATGATTTACATAGGCTGTTCTATGGTTGTAGTTTAAAGTGGTTATTGGAGTCACACATATTTACCATTATACGTTATGACAGTGCTTCAACATTTTTAATTTCTGTTATACATTGTATCTTATAAAATCTATCTTGAAATGTATCGTGTGTTCTACAGGAGTGAATCATGACGAATTAGTCAAGTATGCCAACCAACACTTCGGCAGTTTAAAAATGCTCCCTGAACCCAGTGGTGCTTATCCTAAAAATCCATGTAGATTTTCTGGAAGTGAGGTGAGTCTCTCTATCATCTTGTAATATCATGTGAACATATTTGCATGTTTGTTTTTTGCCTTTTCACTGTACTTGTACTGCAAGCAGTGCGTCAACACTCTTAATATGTGATGGTATTTAGTGTTTGATAATTTATTGTTGTAGCCATATTGTAACATGGTCCTTGTAGCCACAGTGCTTTAGAAGTGTTCCTTTGAGTAGCTTAAGGACATTTCTCTTGTTATTATCCCCTTCCCCCTCCCCCATTCTTCCAAGTAAGGTAGGTTAGAATCGGCATGTCCACCTGTCTGTAGAAAAGTTTTTTCAACATTTTCTTGTAAACTGCTTGCATAACTCCCAGTTCTCATGCAGTTATGCACATTGCTTTTAGTTTTTAGGTTTGACTTCTTCTGCTCTGTTTTTTTAAAATTTAAGATGGCCTCCGTGGCCTTTATTGGCTTAGACAGATATCTTAAAAAGTAAAATTGATACGTGGGGTGTCTACTTTGTGTCAAATTACAGACTTAAAACTTGCAGGATTTACAATGGCTGCCTTGCTTCTGATTGTCCAATATATTTAAGCCAATGAGTTGAGTTCTGTTGGGAAGACTCTTAAGTTTATCTTTAAATTTGCAATCTTAATGTGTGACTGCAGCTAGAACTTGTTGTATCTGGACATTTTCTGTTAATATCTTAAATGGACATTTACAGCCCATTGTCATCACTTCGTAAATTTGTATATGTACAGTGGTCTGTGTCTAAATCAGACACCACTTGGACCATGTCATTTGGCTGGTTTTGTAGAGGGCTCCAGATTGTAGAGTCTGCTTCAACATTATTTCTGAATGTAATGATAACTACGAATGTATGTGCATGCTTACATTGTTCATGCATACAAAGTATATGCATTCATTGCATTACATATCATTAACCTAGCGTATCTACCTGGCTAAGGTGGCAATGACAGGTCAACCTTCAACTTTCCTGTATAGTAATAGGGACTGTAAACACCTACATTAGACCAGGATTGACACGAGTCCACATTTAGCCAGAGTATAATTACTATAGTTAAAGGGGTTCGCCGATTTGGACCGATCCCGATTGGAGAGAGTCCAGTTGAGTCCACTGTACATCACAAATTATTTTTCATTTCGTCCATTTTCGAGGGATAGTGGAGGGTATTCATTAGTGTGTATCTCACATTCCATGGAAGATAAATCAAAACCCCTGTGGTGTTTTAAGCTCAGATGTAACAGATATGCCTTAAATATTTATTAGGTATATAAATATATATGCTGCAATGATTACAAACACACATTGCTATTAATTTTGAATGTTACAGGTGCGAGTTAGGAATGACAACATGCCACTGCTTCACTTCGCCATTGCTGTGGAAGGCTGTGGCTGGGACAACCCCGACAACATCCCCCTCCAAGTGGCTAACACTCTCATCGGACATTACGACCGCGCTATGATCGGAGGTGCCAACCTGTCCAATCCTTTTGTAGCAAACTGTGCTGGTTACAACCTGTGTCACAGCTTCCAGTCCTTCAACACTTGTTACACAGACACTGGTCTATGGTTAGTATACTACACACACGTATGGTTACCTAGATTATGGTTACAGGTCACCTCTAATAAGACATGTGCACATAAGAAAGGATTGTTAAATAGACCTTTTACAGGTGCAACTGTAGTTAAACCTGTGACACTATTATCGCTGTCTGTCCAGCAAACTATTGCAATTGACAATAGTTGAAGGAAAAGCCAATTCCTGCTAAGGATATTAAAGTGAGGTTGCAAATGAAATCACTGGCTTTAAAAGGTTTTTCAAAAGTTGGTTATTTGAAAACAAGATTGTCTAAAAAAATGATGACAAGGATTTATTGCCGTTAAAGTTATCTTGTAATTTTTGATTGTTTTAACAATTTCAAAGAAAACTTCGCTATTTCACATTTTCTTATACAAGCACGTACTGAATCATTGGAAACATAAAGTAACATTTTATTCACTAGAATAAATAATTGTGTACGTCTTTTACCGATATGATTAACATTAGGACTTGAAAGTCAGCCAACCTAAAAAAAAACCATGCACTTCTTACATTTGTGTGTTATTACCATTACAGGGGCTGCTATGTTGTGTGCGAGGGACCTAAGGGTGATGTGATGATGACTTACATTTGTGTGTTATTACCATTGCAGGGGCTGCTATGTTGTGTGCGAGGGACCTAAGGGTGACGTGATGATGAAAGAGCTTCAAAACGAATGGTAAGTGCAACACAAATACAGGCCACTGGACCAGGACCCCTCCAGAATAAATTGTCTGGGCATTGTTTGTCCATTTAAAACATTATTGTGATTACATTAATAATTTTTCTCTCACACCCGATGTAAAAATTTCATTAATTACAAAACAAATAATCCCGATTTTACCATAATGTTATACGCATATCTGTCTTCTGAATATTTTCAAGTTTAGAATATGTACTGATACACTTGTATATATAAACTGCGGTCTTAATTTTTTTTAAAGACAAATAAATGAAATAACATTTCTTTTTACAAATTGTGAAATAAAAACACTGAAGCTAGTGGCCTTTTTCATGATGTACATTTTGAGGCCGAAGGCTGGCGTATGCCTACGTTGTCGTCGGGATGACTTCTATTTGTTTGTTGTAGGGTTAGAATCTGTAACAGTGTGACAGACTTTGAGGTGGACAGAGCCAAGAATCTTCTGAGGATCAGCATGCTGCTTCATCTTGATGGCTCACATCCTATTTGTGAAGACATTGGAAGGTACCTATATACAGAAAAACCTTGATATACTGCCCCTCATTACATTTGCCACCTCGTTTACCGCCAACATATTTTGATGTCCCTTTTCCTCGTTTTCTATTAGCATTCCTTTATACTTATCCCTCAATTCATTGTCAATTGCTGTACTAGAGTAAATGTGGGAGAAAGGACAGCTCTGAGTCTGTGAGAGAGAACAGGGAGTATTACTCTGTGTACATTCATCCTCCTGTCTAGATCTGTCCATTGGCCTGTGCCATTCTTCAGTTTCCATTCAATAACTACCCTTGAAATAGTCCGATTTCATCAAATGGTGCCCTCAGTAGAAATTGTGACAGATTTGGTACATCATAGATATTGCTTCTTACTGTTTGGATATGGTGATTCGTATCTCAATGTGGCTAATGTATTCCATGCTTCTTGATGATTGATAAAGGAGGGGTGTCAATTTGGGCCTTCTGGGGGCTCTCACTGATAAGTTTTATTGTCATTATTAATGCGGTGTATACAAAGGTCACTGTGACCTTCTCATAAATGATGTGCTAGTTTTTTCAGTCACTTTTATCATTTGCAGCTTTAGTGTTACACAATACATCAAAATGATGAAGTAAGTTTTAAAAATAACGTGGTTTTGTCAAAAAAATAGTCATTTGTGATTTTGGTCCCCCACTTTCCCCCTCTTATATTGGAATGGTCTCCAAGCTGACCTTGATTTCCTGTTATATCATGATGGCATAACCCCAAGGTATATATTTGCAAAAAATATGCAAATAAAACTTACCTTATTGGTGATAACCACCAGAAGGCCCAAATTGGCATCCCTCCTTTGTATTTGGAATATTTCATACTTTAATGCAGACCACTGTTGTGTTATGTTACTCGATTCTTCCCTACTTTTCATACAATGATACCTTTTATAACTTTAGTCTTCATACTTTATTAAAAACATTTTTTATGTAACTCATATCTTCCATACTTTAATTCAGACAAATGGTGTGTTATGTAACTCATATCTTCCATACTTCAATTCAGACAAATGGTGTGTTTGGCATGTAGCTTGTGTCTTCCATACTCCAATACAGACAAACGATTTGGGTAACTCATACCTTCCATAATTCAATACAAACAAACACTGTCTTAAGCTGCTTGTGTGTTCCCTACTTGCAGACAAATGCTGTGTTATGGCCGCAGATTGGACCTGGCCGAGTTGGAAGCCAGGATAATGGTGAGTGAAGTGGATTTTAACTAAACCTTGTAGGGATCATCTCTGAGCCAAGGGAATTCTATTTTGTATAAAGGAAGGTGCACATAGTGACCGAGGGGTTGGTTCCAATAGGATTGATTCTTAAATACTTGGCCAAGGTGATTCCATTTGTATAAATGAAGGTAGTTGCACCGCAGGATAGGGCAAAGGGGTGTTTCTGAGAGGGGAATTGTTTGATTGATTTGCATCTCTGGGTCAAAAGGATTAATGTTTAAATAAATGAAGGTGTAAGGGGGATGGACAAAGCAGTAGGCTGAAATAAAGGAAATGTTTGTGCATCTCATAAAAGATTTTAAAATTTCTCTTTTCTTGTGCAGTATAAAAACAAGTATTTAAGATGTAGAGTTAATTAAAAATTCACTTTGATATTGCTGAATTACTTCATTTTTGGCATATTCTCACCTTAGGTATTTTTAAAAAAAAATCATCAGAAATATGTATCTGAGAAAAAAAAGACGAGCTATTTTAAAAACCCTATGTACCTCTTTTATAGTATGCTAGGTTAACCTAGAAGAGCTACCTTGTTGGCTTGAAATCATCTGGTACTGGTGTCTGTATTCCTGTTAACTTCTTTATAAGGAGAATGGGTTATGTTTCAGGGTGTAACTGCGGAGGATGTCAAGAGGGTGTGTACAGAATACATCTACAACATGTGTCCTGCTGTTGCAGCAGTAGGTAAGTAATCGTCGACATTACACATCATACTCTACATAGTCCACTATAAGTCTGGTGACGTCACACTGATCCGCTCTACATAGTCCACTATAAATCTAGTGACATCACACTGATCAACTCCGCTTATTGCTGGTCACAGTCCAATATAAATCACTGACAAACACTATTTCAGTTGAACCAACACTTGATTTTCCTGACATTTCTGTACAAATTTCTGAGGATATTAATATTCCACCTAAGCAGAAATTAACATCGTACAAAGTTTCATAAGAGGGACTACTGGAGTATGTAAGCTTTGATGTATTTCCTAACATGTTTGTTTTACCCCTCAGGTCCAGTGGAAGGGTTACCCGACTACGACAGAATTCGCTCCCAGATGTACAAGTTGAGGATGTAAGGGCGTTAAGACAATAGTGTTGAACAGACAATGACATCAAACTGATCCATAAATGATCAAAGGAAGTGTGGACTTGACCACAGAGAACTGAAGATGGCCGCCTTCTCCTCAGTCATCTGTGGTAGATTATTAAGATCTTGCGTGTGATAGTTGTTATGGTGATTAAATGTATTTAAAACTTTTATGCAGGCGTTTTTGTGCTTTTGTATACCTAATAATAAGCATCGATCAGCAAAGACACTGCTTAAATCAGTTCAGAAAATGGAAACTTCCACAGTGCAATACTCCACTTCACTAAACATATATCGTATACCAAGAATCTTTTGCGTAGTAAAATAATCAACCTTTACCAGTAACATCCATGTTTGACCAGTTAATTCAGCGTTCACTTGTAACGGCTGATTGAAGTATGCTGGGTATTTGTATATGCTGTCAGGATAAATTCATCATCATTACAAAGGGTGAAACGGGCGAACATTTCAACTGTGGCGAAAATTTAATGGTACAGAAAGGTCTCTGTACGGTGTACTACACTGAAGTCGGTAAACATTTGTGTAGAACTGTAGGCAATGTACAGCAGTGGTATCAAAGGTAAGGTCATTATACCTTATATGGGTGATACACAGCAGTGGTATCAAAGGTAAGGTCATTATACCTTAGGTTAGAATGGGTAATACACAGCAGTGGTAGCAAAGGTAAGGTCATTATACCTTAGGTTAGAATGGGTGATACACAGCAGTGGTATCATAGGTAAGGTCATTATACCTTAGGTTAGAATGGGTAATACACAGCAGTGGTAGCAAAGGTAAGGTCATTATACCTTAGGTTAGAATGGGTGTTACACAGCAGTGGTATCGTAGGTAAGGTCATTATACCTTAGGTTAGAATGGGTGATACACCGCAGTGGTATCAAAGGTAAGGTCTTCATACCTTAGGTTAGAACGGGTGATACACAGCAGTGGTATCAAAGGTAAGGTCATTATACCTTAGGTTAGAATGGGTGATACACAGCTGTGGTATCAAAGGTAAGGTCTTCATACCTTAGGTTAGAATGGGTGATACACCGCAGTGGTATCAAAGGTAAGGTCATTATACCTTAGGCTAGAATGGGTGATACACAGCAGTGGTATCAAAGGTAAGGTCTTCATACCTTAGGTTAGAATGGGTGATACACCGCAGTGGTATCAAAGGTAAGGTCTTCATACCTTAGGTTAGAATGGGTGATACACAGCAGTCGTATCAAAGGTAAGGTCATTATTCCTTAGGTTAGAATGGGTGATACACAGCAGTGGTATCATAGGTAAGGTCATTATACCTTAGGTTAGAATGGGTGATACACCGCAGTGGTATCAAAGGTAAGGTCATTATACCTTAGGTTAGAATGGGTAATACACCGCAGTGGTATCAAAGTTAAGGTCATTATACCATAGGTTAGAATGGGTGATACACAGCAGTGGTATCAAAGGTAAGGTCTTCATACCTTAGGTTAGAATGGGTGATACACAGCAGTGGTATCAAAGGTAAGGTCATTATTCCTTAGGTTAGAATGGGTGATACACAGCAGTTGTATCAAAGGTAAGGTCATTATACCTTAGGTTAGAATGGGCGTTACACAGCAGTGGCATCATAGGTAAGGTCATTATACCTTAGGTTAGAATGGGGGATACACCGCAGTGGTATCAAAGGTAAGGGCTTCATACCTTAGGTTAGAATGGGTGATACACAGCAGTTGTATCAAAGGTAAGGTCATTATACCTTAGGTTAGAATGGGCGATACACCGCAGTGGTATCAAAGGTAAGGGCTTCATACCTTAGGTTAGAATGGGTGATAGACCGCAGTGGTATCAAAGGTAAGGTCATTATTCCTTAGGTTAGAATGGGTGATACACAGCAGTTGTATCAAAGGTAAGGTCATTATACCTTAGGTTAGAATGGGTGATCCACAGCAGTCGTATCAAAGGTAAGGTCATTATACCTTATGTTAGAATGGGTGATACACCGCAGTGGTATCAACGGTAAGGTCTTCATACCTTAGGTTAGAATGGGTGATACACAGCAGTTGTATCAAAGGTAAGGTCATTATACCTTAGGTTAGAATGGGTGATCCACAGCAGTCGTATCAAAGGTAAGGTCATTATACCTTAGGTTAGAATGGGTGTTACACAGCAGTGGTATCGTAGGTAAGGTCATTATACCTTAGGTTAGAATGGGTGTTACACAGCAGTGGTATCATAGGTAAGGTCATTATACCTTAGGTTAGAATGGGTGATCCACAGCAGTCGTATCAAAGGTAAGGTCATTATACCTTAGGTTAGAATGGGTTTTACACAGCAGTGGTATCATAGGTAAGGTTATTATACCTTAGGTTAGAATGGGTGATACACAGCTGTGGTATCAAAGGTAAGGTCTTCATACCTTAGGTTAGAATGGGTGATAGACCGCAGTGGTATCAAAGGTAAGGTCATTATACCTTAGGTTAGAATGGGTGATCCACAGCAGTCGTATCAAAGGTAAGGTCATTATACCTTAGGTTAGAATGGGGGATACACCGCAGTGGTATCAAAGGTAAGGTCATTATCCCTTAGGTTAGAATGGGTGATACACCGCAGTGGTATCAAAGGTAAGGTCTTCATACCTTAGGTTAGAATGGGTGATACACCGCAGTGGTATCAAAGGTAAGGTCATTATACCTTAGGTTAGGATGGGTGATACACAGCAGTCGTATCAAAGGTAAGGTCATTGGAATGTATAGGACATTATGTCTTTGATGAGAAGCAATGGTATTGTGTATAAGTAATTTTACTGTTCTGTCACATTGGAGATAAATTGCAGTCATATTATAGGTGATTGTACCATTTATCAGCTTTAAATATGAGGAAACCAAACCTTAATGTCGAATGAGATCAGAAAAATAACTGAACTATAGTCTACAATTCAATAATTTTTAATTTTTCATATTTTTCTATAAAAACAGACGTTCCTGTATAAGATGTACAGGGTCCTCATCAAATGAGCACATTTTATAAAACTGTACATTTGTGTATACAATGTTTGATGTAATCCTCTGACAAGTATCGCACAATAATAAATTACACCATCCTCACATGGGTTTATATGGTTACATATATATAAAATGGGTGACAACTTCTCATACACAACATATCTCCATACAAACTGAAAAGTCCTTTTGTTCCATATTTACAAATATAGCGCAATATATATATAATGCATTAAAAATTCTCATACATCATTTCATCACAGACAAGCATTTAAAAGGCAATTTATTACATCGTGCAAAATGTATAAAAAAAAAATGTACAGACGGATTTACACATCCCCCACAAAAGTCCTTACGTCAGAGAGTACAATATTATGTATTTATATAGAGAGATTCTGTGCATTAACTCATTCACCCCTGAAGACACATTTGAACTCTTCCAATTCAAAGGTTGGAATAGTTCATTATGAAATTTCAGGGGTGAATGAGTAAAATTTGAATGGAATTCACCAGTAAGGTTCTATAGGATATATGACCAAGTTTTGAACTGATTCTCTTCATGTGGGACACTAGTACAATTATTGCGTCGTAACATTTTTGTATATATATACGTTAATACTGATCATGATCTAGAATGAAAAAACGGGTATTGAACTTGTTCTTTTCTTCATTTGGATACAAACTCCACTGTAATGTTACCCTAGTAAAATATATACAGGTAGAACTGAAGTCTTTGGATATCAAACACATTACAAAATACCGATACTACTGGACGCAAAATAATCGTAAACATGTAAAGAAGCAAGAAACGTTGTGATGTTTAAATTTGCATAATTGTCCTAATGTGGATTTCTAAAAGTGTAGAAAATTATACAAAGTCACACAACCTGGAAATGGATGAATTATATTATTAGATATTCGATCAGATAAAATCACAATATGGCCGCTATATTTTTGATCGAACCTCGACACGACGCGAGATCAACCTGATCTTGCTATATTGTGCAATGTTAGTACAAGGTCAACAGTTGAACTATATTGCAATTGCAAAACCTGAATTAATTAAAGCACCGAAAAAAATCCTTGCTGTATTAACATGGCACTAGACTGTATCAAAAATACAGATACAAAAGTACAGACCAAAAATGAAATGATAGTCCTCACTGTTGTAGATTACTATTGTAATGGACCCCAAATTTTGGGTATACATATTAAATTCACAGAAATCAAAGCTGTTGCTTCACATTTTGACTTTTTTTTTTTTTTTAATTTACAAACCTAATTGTCATTAAATTTTTAGTAATTAGTTATTGTTTTCTGATTTTTAGTAATGGTTAGGTACTCATTTTCTCATTCCATTCATTATATTCCTCATGAGATATATACACGACTAGCATAACCCTGGACAATACAGAGATTAAATACTGAGCACACACGAATAAGTCCTCAACACCGGACTGTCTTCATTACTACATTTTACTTCCCTAATCAGACGGGAAACTTCACACAATCACATCCTTTTTCACGCTATATTTCGTTACAGCTACAGTTAATATGTTTCACACAGTTTTAAGGTTAAGTAACACAAACGCGTCAGACTTAACCTATACAAAATATTATATAATAAATCGTACATTTTGTCATATATATATCAAACATGTATATAAGGATTTCATTTCTCCTAATTTGTAGATACAGTGTATATTTTATTCCGAGTGATTATGCACGACTTTGTGAAATGACGATATTTATGATGAAGATGAAAATAAAATGAAGATGAGGTGATCATGACATTGAATACAAAATCAAATGGAGATGAAAAATAAGATGAGCGGCCAAATTTGGGACAGCTTGAGATCAAGATATTGTAACTGGATGATCACATATTAGTCCACGTCTGTAAATGCATAATCCTCGTCAGTTACTTTGGCAACAGATCACGTTACTATGGTGATTTTCAATCATGCGGACATGCACTGTCATACGGAGGTTTCATGGCTGCACCTGTAGGGGAGGAAACAGACACCAGATGTACAATAAAGTATCATGCAACATGCAAGGTGCAATGTTCTTACCAACCATACATAAAACTGTACAACACGATAATTGTGTGTCCTGTATGTTCACGATACTTGTGTGTCCTGTATGTACACGATACTTGTGTGTCCTGTATGTAAACGATACTTGTGTGTCCTGTATGTTCACCATACCTGTGTGTCATGTACCTTCACGATACTTGTGTGTTTACTATCATTATGTTTACAATACTTGTGTGTCCTGTATATTCATGTATACTTGTGTGTCCTGTATGTTCACCATACCTGTGTGTCATGTACCTTCACAATACTTGTGTGTTTACTGTCCTGTATGTACACGATACTTGTGTGTCCTGTATGTTCACCATACCTGTGTGTCATGTACCTTCACAATACTTGTGTGTTTACTGTCCTGTATGTACACGATACTTGTGTGTCCTGTATGTTCACCATACCTGTGTGTCATGTACCTTCACAATACTTGTGTGTTTACTGTCCTGTATGTACACGATACTTGTGTGTCCTGTATGTTCACCATACCTGTGTGTCATGTACCTTCACAATACTTGTGTGTTTACTGTCCTGTATGTACACGATACTTGTGTGTCCTGTATGTTCACCATACCTGTGTGTCATGTACCTTCACAATACTTGTGTGTTTACTGTCCTGTATGTACACGATACTTGTGTGTCCTGTATGTTCACCATACCTGTGTGTCATATACCTTCACGATACTTGTGTGCCTAATGTATGTACTTGTCCCGTATGTAAATGATACTTGTGTCCTGTGTCTATGTGATGTATGTATTATGTACTCATCTACAACAATAGCTTACAGTGGAAGGTTGCTTAAAGCTCGACTTATAAAGTTAAGGATATCAAATTTCTCTCTGGCCTGCATTCTTATTTTGAACAAGAGGCCCAGAGGGCCTGTATCGCTCACCTGAATATGTTTAAAATAATTGATATGAAGTAAAGATATAGCACTACATGGTAGGTGCTGTAAGTACATAATGAAATTTCAGGAAGATCCATCCAGTACTTGAGATAGAGCGAGAACCAACTTCAAACAGAGCCCCAACCCTATGCCCTAGGGGGGTCATACCCACTACAGACTAAATAAGGATAAAATGATGGTCGAAGAAGGATTTTAAAGGCTTTACCTCTATTTATCCTATTGGGCCCCGCCCTTCTGCCCCCTGGGAAACTACACCCACTGCTTATACAAAATTGAGTCTCCTTGGCCCAAGGATGCTCCAGACTAAATTAGAATAAAATCCCTTAATCCCTACGATAGAAGAAGGATTTTAAAGGTTTTACCTCTATTTCTATTATTTGGCCCCACCCCTCTGCCCCCAGGTGGGCCACACCCACTGTTTATACAAAATTAAGTCTCCTTTGCCTAAGGATGCTTCAGACCAAATTTAGTCAAAATTTACTTGGCCGTTCAGGACTAGTAGCATTTTAAAGGAAAAGTTGACGGACAGAATACGGATGGACGACGGACACTGCGATATGGCATAAGCTCACCATGGTCCTTCGGACCAGGTGAGCTAAAAAGTGATAAATTTATTGAGGAAAATTTAATATAAAGATGTATTCTGGTCAAAATTTGCAGATTTACTTCTATTTATGAGAGACACTGTACGTATATGGTATTCTATTTTAGCAGTGTGTATTCAATATCTTTTGACAAAAACTGTTCTGATTAATTATTCAAACCAGTAGTACTTTATTTTATTTTTTTGGTTTGATATTGTTCAACATCCTATGAACAGCTAAGGTAGTTTCAGGACGTGCCTCTGATTGTGTAATGTATGTGTACATCTGTGAATGTCAGCTGGAGACGAAGTAATGTGAGACATTGTATGGTATTGTATTTGATAGTGTGTTCTGATTAATCATTCATTAAATCAATAGGTATTTATAATCGGGATTCAGTACAACATGAAAGGATAATAGAAGTATACAACAAGTGTGGAATACAGGACACACAACATCATCATTTCACCTTTCCCAAAAAGTATAAACATGCTCCCAAATAGTGAGGCTTAAACAGTTGTAAAATACAACAAATATACTAACGAAATACACCAAAAAGGTGGAACAAAATGTGCAAAGTGCAACAACGAACAAGACAAAATATCAAATTTAAAGCAAAACAAAAACACATTTACATATGAATGGTGAAATAAATATAGGTCAAGCTTCAGTGAAATATAGCACAAAGCCTCATCATCTTTCAACCTAAACATGAAGGCTATTTATATGCGGTTAAGGCTCCTGCCCTGTGACCTTCACCAAGTGACCTTCAATGTACCAGGTAGATTATTATGTTTGGATATTAAACTAAAATATCACCATTAAAATTCTTGACTCACGACAAGTGACATTTGCACAGAATATCTGGCCCGAGTATAATATCCGATGTCCAAGATCTTTACCGTCGTCACAGACAATCTTAGTTTCTGGGCACTTACTCTGAATCTGAGGATATACTGCCGTTATGAGTAAGGACCTGCACCTTGACGCGAGGGTCTGGAGGGGGATGGAATGGTCCGTGAGTATTACTACTGCTCGAGTCATTCAACAGACTGTCTGTCCGCACAGGCGGCATTATATAATCCCTGTGACTAGCTGTTACAACAGAAAAGTAGGCTATAAAAGTCTGCGACTAGCTTTGACGAGGTGAAATTCAACCCCGACGTTGTACTGGCTACATGTAAATGTCTATGAATGTCTTCTGTAAATTTCTTACACTTTCAAATCAATTTCATTTTTTTTTTTTACAAATAATTCCAATTTTTACAACTAAGCCGAATAAATATATGCTAATTTTCTCCAAAAAACGTGTTTTTTATAATGACATTCAGAGACATTTACTGTATTCAAATGGTATGTAGCTGAAAACTTATAGAATTAATTTATAATGAATTATAATTCAGAGATGATTCCAGATTCAGTTTAATCAAATTTTTCTCTCCACTCCCCCACCCACCCTCCCCCCAATTTAAAGCAAGTTATTCTTTTCTTTCATACTTAAATATTTCAGGTAGTCTATTTTTCATATGGTAGTGTGAAATAAAAATATATAAATTTCAATTTCAAATATCCTTTTCTGGAATGAACGCTGCATCATCATACAAAACATACAGTTTAACTTTGTCCACAGTACTTGGAATGTGCTTTTGGTTAAAAAATATTGCGTTAATATTTTAAAGTATATTTCTTTGATTATTCGGTCAAGATAATGACAATCTGTCACAAAGTTAAACTGTATTTTATATCAAATAAGCTGGAAGCAAAAAAATGAGCAATAAGAAAATTAAATCCACAAATTCAATCGTCCTGCAATGACCTCTCCAAACTGAACAACAAACATGCCAACACCAAGCAGAGAAGTAGGTGAAGAAATCTCACGAGAATGGTCTTTTGAGATGGTTGATAGAAATACTTCAAATGAATGCTTGCATTGTAATTAAATTAGGCCTCAATATTTCACTGACACCTGCGTACACGTGTGATGAAATGTGGACATGCGGTGTCTGACCAGTATGATTCCAACATATAGCATGCTATTCACACAAAATACAGGACATCGCTGGCAGTGATATGGAATGGTCTATATAACTTATATAACTTGCTTATACAATTTATACCATAATATTGACTAGAAAGTAGAAATATGTGATATATATTTTTCAATACCATCACAAACTCGTGATAAAATGAAAATTTTAGGTGCAACATGATATTTAGCCAACCCTCAACAATAACTTTATTTTTCAGTATTTTTATAAGTTGTTCTACCTGGGTAGTAGTCAATTTGGGAATACACTTCGCCATATTAGCTGATATTTTATGGACAGCACCAGCCTACAGACTAAATACCACTGGCAGTTAATGAAGGTGATGTGAACAAATGTTTGATGGTTTTGTTAAGATTATTTGAACATATGTAAAAATTGTTTTAAACAGGTGTATCTATCAGAAAATGTGTCTATGATTAATATATTGTTAAACAGTGTTAATTCTCAAGTTCATATACACATTATTATAATCAAATACTGCTGAAATGTGTAAATACACTTTATATACATATATACAGTCAGATTAATAGAAACTTTACAGAAACACTTATTTACAAAAAATGTATATGCACAATATTTTTGTAATAAATTATTTCACAACCAAATGGTAGGATTATATATTGTATATCTTTGTACAGTGAGAGAGCATACATCTCTTTAATTGTAAAAATTATTTCGGAAAAAACAAAAGGCATTTTGGTAAAGTCATTCTAAACCATGAAATGTATGTACAAATACTGAAATCACTGCCTTAAATGTAGCCAAAGGCAGGTATGAAGTTGATTGTCAATCTTATTGAGGAGTGGTTCTATCGTAACAAAATGACAAATGACAACTTCATGATGCTGAAATAAATGATAAATATACAGCAATTTTGAGAATGTGACCAACCCAATGGAGATAAAGATAAAATTGGGTTATCTCAGCATCATCCCCATCTTTACATAATTGGCAGCCTTTTTACTACCTTGTAGTTCCTGTGCCGGCAGTGTAACGTCAGGTGGTACACTGGACATGGTCACTTGGTCTGACTGGCGATAATCTTCCGACTCCGTGAACTGGAAACCCGACAGGTTTGGGTCACCCGGCCAGTGGCCATATTGGTTCTGTTGTTGTTGTATTTGGCTGTACAGCGGTGGTGGGTTGACTGTGAACAGAACACAATGAATATGCAACAGTGAGAACACATTGTAACAAGAGGCACAAGGTGCCTGTACCACTGACCAGGTATTTCTTGTTGTTGCCGAAATATACTGTATAGCCGGAAAATTTTGCCCAGTCAAAACTTTCACCTGCGCTGGCTCTTATGATAAATTCGCCCTCATTACCAAGGGCGAAAAAAGGCAAAAGTTAAACTGCAGCGAAATTTCCCCAGTATATATAGTGCTAAATGCTAAAAAAAGATTAGAACTAGCAAGTCTGGGACAAACATAAATTTAGGCTTTGTAGTTTTCAAGAATTCCTTTGATATTTTAACATATCACACTTATGGCTGTGACCTTGAAAATGGGAAGGGTCAGTTATCAGAACAGACTTAATAATCCTTCATCACTGGACATCTACTGTAAACATGTGAATATCTATCAGGAAAATAATGCTAACTATATAGCTTACCTGTATTGGCATTGTTTTTCTGTTTTTCTGCGTCATCATTTTCTTTCTTTTTCTTTCTTGCTTGTTCTTTAGCTTCCTCTGTTGACAGAAAACATTTGAACTGGTGATATTCTTATACATTCATTAACCATTAACTCACTCACCCCTGATAATTCATAATGAACTATTCCAACCTTTGAATTAGAAGAGTTCAAAGGTGTCTTCAGTGGTGAATGAGTTAATTAAAATCTGTTTTTCAGAACTTATTTGAGGTATTTGAATCAGGCCATGGTGTATTTCAGTGCATCAAAACCTTTCTGAACTGAATTAAACATCAGGACCAATATTAGCATTCCAATACACAAGTTTTTGAATTAAATATGGCCACCTTATACACAATGATCACAGAAATAAACATATTATTCCTGACCTAGACGCATGTCTGAAAACTGGTTTTATATCTTCTAGAGTTGATTGACTATACATGTATAAAGTTTCAGTTAAGAAAACCTATAGAGAAGTCCCCAAAATTTCACTGGCACTAGACTAATACCCTTTTAATCAAAAGAAGTGACGATCTCCGGCACCAGCAAGCATTCAGTGCTGAGGTGGATCTTACAAGTAATCCACAACACATTACCAAAGAAACCAGAATATGCACCTGGCTATCAGTCTCTCACATATACTTATATACACAACAGTTTCTTAAATATACCCAGCAGTGCCTTATATATACTGGACAGTGTCTTAGTATACACAACTGTGTCTTAATATACCAGACAGTATCTTAATTATATTGAAACCGTTTCATAATACATAACCAGCTGTGTCTTATTTATTCCTTCTGTATGTTGAAATGTCAACTCACCAACTTTCTGATTTAATGGCATTTCTTTCTCCCATGTAAAAGCGACGTCGTCTTCGTCATCTGAGGAGTGACTGGATGCCAGACTGAGGCTAGCACGGCCCACTGACCCGTCACTGTCAGAGTCTGAGTCGTTCCCTGAGCGTTTGTTTGGGCCATCCATGTGGTCAGTAGCTGGAAGGAAGGAGTAGAATTTGTTAGGAATTCCCTCTAAAAGCAAATCAAAATAGTTAGGAATTCCCTCTAACAGCCAATCAAAATAGTTTGGAATTTCCTCTAACAGCCAATCAAAATAGTTTGGAATTCCCTCTAACAGCCAATCAAAATAGTTTGGAATTCCCTCTAACAGCCAATCAAAAATTTAAAACGTAAAAAAAATCCAAAACAATTAATGTTAAAAATATATTGATAAAACTGAGATATTCTACCACCATTTTGTAACAAATTTTGGAGTAAGAAAAAGAGATAACATGAGGAAAGGGAGGTCATGCAATAAGACAATATAAACTAAGGAAGTTCTTTGAAAGCAGGTAGAATGGTTATAATGTGCAAGATAGAAGCAGGGGATGCCAATGAACAGTTAATAGCTATCAGCTGTCTAGTCTGAATTAAAACTATACTGAGTTCTGTGAATGAATTCTACCTATATTAAAAAGTGCCTTAAAAAAGAATTGGAAGATAATTAATTCACTCATAGCAAATTTACACAAAAAACTGCAAGTCTTAGGAATATTCAAGCAAAGTACTTGAGTCTCATAAAAATCTGGATGAGACTGCCTAGATTAGCTGATTAGTAGATTATAGACAGAGGACACTGCAACACCACCACGACTTACTGCCGTTTGGTCTTTTTTCGTGATAAGCCTTGAGGTCGTATCCATAGGGCGGGATCCCAGCATTAGGGGGGTACAAGCTTTCGGAGGGGACGTGGCCAGAGGTAGAGGTACTGGTACTACGCAGATAGTCCTCACCCTTGTACAGACCTCCAGAACTCTTACTGGTCGACCGACTTGTCGTCGACGTCGTAGAAATCCCAACATTCATCGTCCGGTTAATACAACCGTCCATGGAATTGTCTGTGCGATAGGCCAGTGCAGATCTCTGTAAGAAATAGCACATTTGTTTACATCTGTATCTTTATTAAAATCAAATGCACTTCTGTGCGAATAGCGCACATTTCTTTAAAATTACAGGTACTCAACATAATTGTAACTCGATTCAACCTTCAATAGAAGTTTCTAAACAGTATATATATGTCACTTTTGATTTCCAGGAAAATGAATTTTTAATGATGATAATTTTGACTTTTGTCATGGAAAAGTGATTCAACTTGTATACACATGTATATAAATTTATGAGTTTTCCTGATGATATAAAAATTGGTTTTCATTTACACCACTGACAAGCATGCAAGTGTAAGATAAATCTAGTTATCTAATATGTGTCTTAGTCTGTATTTCACCTGCTAATGATAAGACTACTTTTATTCACATGCTAATACGTTCGCTCTCAGTATATATTATGATCAATCCAAACATTCTCTGTCATTAAGCACCCTTTCCTTATACATCCCTCCCCCATTTTTCTAGTAAGCACACCAGACATTCATTCTCGATGGTGAACCTGACTGAGTTCATTATGTGTTAGTGACTGTAAATGTTGACAGTACCGAGCTTCGGGTGCCGCCAAGGTTCTCCGCCATTTCCAATTTCTTTCCCTGACATTTATACCATTGCTTCTTTAGTTGAAGCCGCACCTGTAAAAGAACACAATGCACATGCTTCATTCACAGTCCAGGTAGAAGATTCGGCGAGGGAATCGTAATGCAGATACAAGCTCAAGTCATGTTATATCAGTCAAATCATCATGCTTTCAGGGACTTCATGCAAAGGAAACGTGATGCAATTAGGACATGTACAGTACAAACCCCAGGGGACATAACTCTACAGTAAAAGCGTTGTTTATAACAAACCCCAGGGGACATAACTCTACAGTAAAAAAACATTGTTATAAAAAAACTCCAGGGGACATAACTCTACAGTAAAAAACATTGTTGTAACAAACCCCAGGGGACATAACTCTACAGTTCAAACATTGTTTATAACAAACCCCAGGGGACATAACTCTACAGTTAAAACGTTGTTAATAAAACACTTCAGGGGACATAACTCTACAGTAAAAAACATTGTTGTAACAAACCCCAGGGGATATAACTCTACAGTAAAACGTTGTTATAACAAACTCCAGGTGACATAACTCTACAGTAAAACATTGTTATAACAAACCCCAGGGGACATAACTCTACAGTTAAAACGTTGTTAATAAAACACTTCAGGGGACATAACTCTACAGTAAAAAACATTGTTGTAACAAACCCCAGGGGATATAACTCTACAGTAAAAACGTTGTTTATAACAAACCCCAGGGGACATAACTCAACAGTTAAGCATAGTTTATAACAAACTCCAGGGGACATAACTCAACAGTAAAACGTTGTTATAACAAACTCCAGGTGACATAACTCTACAGTAAAACACAGTCATAACAGACCCTAGGGGGAAAATCTACACAGAAAATCAGGTTTAATACAAACCACACGGGACAGTTACAAGAAAGCATGGTTATAACAAAGCCTTAATGCTACAGTAGCTAACTACAAAGAACAGAATTTCACTAAAGAAATTTCACTATGGAAAATTGATAGTCAACTATGGTGTCCATTAGACCATTCCTTGATCGAGGATATACATATTATGTTTTACAAGCAAGAATTAGCAATAAGTGTGATAGTAGTATACACATGATATCAATTAAACTTTTCAAAGTTCAATCATTGTTAGTCATAGCTTTTATCATTTTCAGGCTAAACTTCCTACAATCAGCCTCTTCAGACTTATAAACAACCTATTCAAGATAATGTTTATTATTTAATTCTGCACATAAAGACCAACTGACTCTTGTTTTTGCAGCCTAACTGTTTTAAGACTTATTTTTACAGTGTCACATTTCCCCCTACCTTTTTATCACCCACGATATAGGCCACGAATATGAAGCCACCTTCAGCCAATGAGAAGATGGCGTAGGCGTAGTGAAGGGGCACCAGGTTATAGTTAACAGACACAAGTCCCAGTATCCAGGTGACACCTAACAACAGGAGGATGGCCAGGCCACAGAATATACGGGCCCTGAAAAACAAATGTACACGAGTTAGTTTTAGGGACGATATTGAATTCAGATGTTTTCCACATGTTTATTTCCACAAAGCTTAATTTATTCTGCTTACATAAAACATGTTAAGATATTGAACTTAATCGAGATTTACATCCACATTTTTTTTAATATATCCATACTTGATGTCAGTATGTGAAATCAAAACAACAGCAGGGTTTATATGTACACGTGTCGAACATAATTTACATTACCACTAAAATGAATTTCTGCAAAAATGTTTTTTCTGAACTTGTCACCACAAATGAAAAACAGTGTTTCAAACCTCATGAAATCTAACTTGAATAACTCACCTGAATCCGACAATGTCGTTGACATGGATTTTTTCTCTAAAACTCGCCTTCAGGGCAAGTATAAATGTTAGGATGATTACCTGCAAAAAAAACCAAAATTGTGTGGATCAATATTTTCAAACATTCAGGACACGGTGAAATATATCTAGGGGATAAGAGTGGCCATTAGGATTTAAGGACTTCTTAGTCATTGTACTAGAAGCTGTCAGTCAATCCTGACTACATGTGCACACTAGGCTCTTTCAAAAACATCTTCCCATTGTTAAATTTCTTTCCTAATAGTTTTGATTCTGTGCTGAATTAGCGTTCACGTTGTAGGAACTACTGTTTTATTGTAATAAAGCTTTGTTTTTAAAGAGTTTAAAAAGAATTTAAAATGTGAAAGTACGGCCCCCTTAAAGACAGCATATTCATGTCTGTAGTGCCAATACCTACCAGCACTCCAAATACAACAGGTCCAGCAAAGCTCCATATAAATGATTGGGCCATGTCCAGCCAACAACTGCAAAATCATAAACCCACATGGTTAGTCAACAGGTATAGCTCCATAAACCAACATGGTTAGTCAACAAGTATAGCTCTAAGTATATACACAGTTATAAACAATAGTCCTGTGTCCCGACAAAATCTTCTTTTAGATCAAAACCTGCAAGAATTCTTTGGGAACCTCAGAAATATTTTCTATACATATGGAAGAGGAGGTTCCATCTAGGGTTTCCTCTGAGCATTTTCATTATTTCATATCTAAATAACTCACATTTTTCCTTTAAAATTTCATAGCAATTTTCAGAATAAAAGGATATTTTATTTTTAAATTGTATCTTATGCAACATTTCCTGCTTAGTGCTGATCAGTTTTTCCTTATAGAGGCATTATGAAAATGTTACACTTCATTACTTACAACTGTGAGCCACCGTACCCGTCTGTGTACAGCCCAACAGACAGCCCGACGATGATACCAGGTATAACTGGAAATAAAACACGTCTAATAAATGCATTTTCAATTTCAACAGACTGACATAAAAATGTACAAATACCATACTTTTGTCAGCAAATAAATAAAAGAGAGAAAAGTCTACATCATTGTAATCTGAAAATATCTGTATCGTTCTCTACATAACACTCAAAAGTTGGCAAAAAAAAAAAATTGCTAATAAAAGAGCTAACATTTTCAGATCCTAATGATAAAGTACCATTAATTTTGATTTGATGAGCATTAGGCTTCAACTAGCTGTCTTTTACCACAATCAATTTCCTACTAATAACAGGAATTTTCCTTAACAGCACTAAGTAAATAATACAGAGTACTGGATTAGTTGCTAATGCATACCATATCCAATGAGATAGTAGAACTTCATGGAGCCGTAGTTTATGTCCCGGATCTCAGTGAGGCGGCGGTAAAGGTGTAACATCTCGACAAACAGCCAGGAGAATGCCGCCAGGTAAAAGTAGTGTAGCGATATGGACACCAACCGACAAAACAGCTGCAACACGGATAAATGTTCAATTTTGAGTAAATTTATGGATTTAATTAAATGATTTAATTTTGTTATGACGAAATACAGTATTACTGAAGATCCTATTTACGCTGCGGTATCCTAAAACAGAAGCCTCACCTCTGGTTCCGTCCTATACACGCCCGAGATGAACGCCAGGTCGGATATGAAGATGGTGAACACCAGGTTGATGAGGATACTGTTGGCATTACTCTGGAGATGTTTGAAGCACATGAAGATGAAGAACGCCACAAACAGGCAGATCAATGTTATTCCTATGGCGATGAAGCTGACAACCTCCAAAGAAATGGCGCCCTTGGCAACATACTGTTAAGTAGAACGACAAATGGGAAATTAGTCAACATCAGAATATCCGCAACATCATTTCTTTATAATGCTTTGATTGTACAAATAAAAAGTATCACTTTTCTCTTATGAGAACAAACTGATGACAATTGTTTGCAGAAAATTGAAAATGATCAAATTTAAAAGACCAACTTCTGAAATTATGTATTAAAATTGGTTATTTTGTTCTTCATTCCACAAAAATGAATTGACAAAATGAACAAATACCTCTGAGTCTGCAACATCCATGAGGACACCGAATGAAGTCATGTGATCACATGAGCATTCTATGAATTTCTGCAGTACAGCAGGATCACTTCCTTCCAGGATTTCCCTCTCATAGCGGTCAGTTATCTCACAGCCACTGGTGGACCATTCACCAACATATCTAACAAGGTCAAACAAAGTCATAAGGAAAGGCTGAAGTAGCACAAGTGTAACAATGACATTACAAAAGGCCAAAGTAGGAGATGACCAATTAAAAGTCCTAATGAAAGATCTTTTCACAAGGTCAAACAAAGTCATTACAAAAGGCTAAAGTAGAAGATAACTGAGTCACTTCAACATAACGAAAGGTAGAATTAAGAGATACCAAAATAAAAGTCATAATGAAAGGTCATAGAAGAAGATACATAAAGTCCTTACAAAAGGCAAAAATAGATGGTACCTATGACAAGGTCAAACAAGGTCATTATGAAAGTCAAAAGTTGGGATACCTGTTATAGGACAAAATAGGAGACACCAAACAAGGGATACCTGTCCATTTGGGATTCCCCCCCCCCCCATCCCCCAGGAGACATAGTTGGCTAGGGTACTTACGAGTTCGGGCTGTGCTTCCAGTAGACACACTGTGGACTTGACCGATTTACTGTCATATCTTGTTTGAACACCATCTTGATAGGCTCCGCCAGCGCCCCGGTCACAAGCTCCCCCTGGTCCCTCACCAGAAGTGTGATGACCGGGGCATTAACATCCAGCGGCCGCTCCTCAATTTGTCTACAAACAAAAAAATATGAAAAAAAAATGTTTATAAAGTTAAGAAACCTGTTGTCTAGCTACATGCCTATAAATAATACAAAGGGACTTTTGCCATCTAACTGAACATATATCATAATTAAACACAGCTAATTCCCTTCAAATCTATATATGGTATATAGTGCTATTGCTGACCACTTACATTGTATAAGAAAATCTTTCTCCAGTATTTCACCTTTCATTACATTTAAAAACCTTTTTTTTCACTGTTCACAACTCGTTACAAAAATAAGAATGTCAAAGGTCACTTACCTGACATTTGAATCAAATATCTTTGGTAAAATGTCACCTAGGTTCTTGTACATGATGAAGCCTACATACGCCGTGGATGACGAGATAGCTTCAAAGACTGGCGCTAACGGATCTGTAATGGAAAAGATTGTATGTCTGTAATGGTGAGTGTTGATAGAAGTTAAATCTTGATACTGTTAATGTATTGACATAGTCTTCAGGAGATACGATGATTTGTTCACCCAAGGCATGTCACGTTTTCCAATGGTGAACAGTTTCAGACAACAGGAGCAAACAAACGTTAAGAAATGAAATCTGGTCACTCTGTTCCGATTCCAATATGGGAGATGTGATTTTGAGATTGTTGTAATATCCTGTGAGGACGGAGAAAAAATATATATCATGTGCAACATAGTTTACCATTAAAATGTCTCTCTTTCTCCCTCTATATAATATACCTATATATGTTGAATAGCCCTGAGCATGGTCAACGGATGAATTCAGTCCAAGCAAATACACTCCCAAGGTTTTTGAGATTGTCTAATTAATCACAAATCTGATTAAGATAAAATCCTGGATTGTTAATACTTTTCAGGAGCATGAGTGACAAATGATCCTAATTTAGGAACCTTGTGTCTCAGTGGAAATGATCTGAACATGATAATAGGGAAATTATATCAAACTATGACAGGCGAGGGCTTACCTGAGGGAAGGGGTGTGGAAACGACCGACTGAGACAGCATGATGTAGGTATCGTCATCAAAGGTATCCTTCTTTACAATGTTGTTAAACTTGGGTATCCTCTGACCGGAGAAATTTTCTGCTGACAAGTTGTCCATCACCAGAACTAGGCAAACACAAAAGTCAGTTGTTGAGGTCATTTATTTTATTTACTTTAAAAACTTTTTAATTTGATTAAAAATTATTTGAATTTGAATTTGAACTATAATTGATTGTAAGTATATTCCATTTGTCTTTTCGTACGTCGCCTTGCAGAAAAAAAAGTTATCCACAAAACGAATTTGTAAGGTATGAAAGTCGTTAATTTACACACAATATTCTGGACATTATTGAATCACAGCAGGAATCAGTAACTAATACCATACTTACCAATGTTTTCCGACACAACACTGTAAGGTTTGCTCTGTAGAGTGGCAAGGTTCTCTGACAAAATAGCCAAGTACTTCTCCAGTTTCCATTGCAACTCGGCAATGCCACCTGAGTTTTTGTTGATGACCAGCCAGTCGTTATTGTAGCGGGGTTCCATGACCGTACTCAGGATATCAAGCATGCTCTGTGAGACACAACACAAAATATTACCATGCTTTGCAAGGCATGAACCCATTCAAACTCGAACTCAAAATTACAGGCAATTTAGTCATCAAACCAGTTACCAATTGAGGACAAAACAAAATCTAGGGTCTTGATTTCTTGTTTTAAGTGAATAATAGGATAACTTATTATCTTTTCAATACTTTATATATATATGCATAAATAACATCTCTGCAGTATAGCCCCATGCTTACAGTGGCTGAAGATGACCTTGAAAAGCTAGTAACATTGACTAGGTAGAATGTTACCTGTAGGTATGTGACAACTAAGTCAGAATGTTACCTGTAGGTATGTGACAACTAAGGCAGAATGTTATCTGTAGGTATGTGACAATTAAGGTAGAATGTTACCTGTAGGTATGTGACAATTAAGGTCGAATGTTACCTGTAGGTATGTGACAACTATGGTAGAATGTTAACTGTAAGTATGTGACAATTAAGGTAGTATGTTACCTGTAGGTATGTGACAACTATGGTAGAATGTTACCTGTAGGTATGTGACAACTAAGGTAGAATGTTACCTGAAGGTGTGTGACAACTAGGGTAGAATGTTACCTGTAGGTATGTGCTGTCCTGCTCCGATGTCAGACTCAGGCCAGTTTGTTGGACCTCGTAAGCTAGAGTCTGGTTCAGGATGCGGTACGTAATATAAATATCATTTCCAAACAGTCGGGTGGCCTTCATCACAGCATCACAAAGTTTCCTCATAATTTTTTTGGCCACAAAGGTTGTGATCTTTAACTCGCCAGACTCTATCTTGTTAATCTGAAATAACACATACCAGTAATTTCACAAACTACACTCAACAATGTTGATGAATGAAACCAATATTGATCCGATAAACCAGGACTGCTGCTAAAACATCATTGTCGTTTATAACAAATCACAACATTGACTATGAATCAAGATAATTTGCTGCAATAAAAAAAAATCACCCTCAAAAGATGCAAGTTTTGATATTTTTTTTGTAAATTCATTGTTTCCTTGATAATCCATTGTACAGAAAATACTTTCAAATGATTCGATCTATGCAACAGCAATCCCTGCTCACCTGTGTCTGGAGAGAGACAAAGTCGGGCTGAGTACAGTTAAACAGATCCGGTGCCAGCCATTTGCCATCCTTAGTACAATTCCTCTTGGCATCACCTAGAAATAAGTAATCATCAAATATACCTTAACAATACGCTCCACAGACTCATACAATTTACTATATTTCAGCCATGTTGTTTATGGCTTAACCCTTTCACCCCTATGTAACTTAAGTAGACTCTTCCATGCATTGATATGGATGAGTCCATTATGGTCTATACAGTGGTGAAAGGGTTAAACAAACCAAATCCATCAAAATTTGTAAAGACTTGTGTCTTTTGTCTTGTGTTACTCCCTCAATGATAGAACGGAGCTAAACACAATGTCTAACCAAGGTCAGTGAAGCGGAAATACGGTAAAGGTCACAGTGACCTACATTAATTATATTTCATATATTAGTGTAGTGTTTCTTGTGATGTATCCACTTATAAAATATTACAGTAATGAAGCTGAATACTCATTCACCCCTGCAATTTCATAATGCACTATTCCAACCTTTGAATCGGAAGAGTTCAAATTTGTCTTCAGGGGTTAATACATGTCTTAACAAAATGTCCAACAAAGATGGACAGGCTAACAAAAAAGTCATTTTCAATAAATCTACCGATCTTTAGGCTGTGTTCTGAATTGGACTCCGAAATCATGATGAAAACTAACTTAAATATTTGTATCATTTAAAGGCTAAACTAGTGAAGAAACAGAATTCTCTGGTAATATTACAGAAATTTTATTAGCATCATGTGATCAATGGTAAGTATTTGAAGTCTCTGAGCCTGTCATATATATTTGGTACCTACCTATAGCTTTATCAGGACAATCTTGTACTGTACGGTTTCCAAACAGTACCCCGTCCCACCACACACCTTCATCATAGGTACGAGGGCACATGTAGTAATTTACTGAAACAAATGATTAACAAAATACATAGACCATCCAAACCAATTTACATAATTGGACTTTTACGTCCAATAAAACAGCTTAATTCTTTTTTTTTTCATTTTTGCAAACTTTTTTTCAAATTTTATTATAAAAAGAAAATGAATCAAATTTTTACAAGGACAAACATAGGTACATCCTCGATATATCTAAGTGTTACGCTCACTTTCTCTCTCTACACCCCTGGAATATGTCATAGCAAACTTGAAGGCACGAAGATAGTTGTTTGATTGGTCTCAGGTAACAAGAGGCCCAGGGGCCTTGATAGCTCACCTGGTATTTTATTTTTCAATCTAAAACCTGCTGAGTACCATACAGGTTTATCAAAGGAGTACAATAAACAAAGTTGCAAGAATAACTACATATAAATCTGTTTTGGTGGGAAAGACACCAAGAAAATGAGATTCCATGTTATGTCCCAATTTTCCTCTATTTCCCCTATTGGGCCACACATGCACCTTTTTATACAAATAAAAACAANGGGGGGGGGGGGGGGGGGGGGGGGGGGGGGGGGGCACACATCTTCCTTTTATAACTATTAAATTCCCTTTGCCCAAAGATTCTCTAGAACAAGTTTGGGTTTGGTTAAAATCCCTTCAACAGTACAGAAGGAGAAGGATCTTTAATGTTTTCCTCTATTTCTCCTAATGGGCCTAACCCATCTGCCATAAAGAAGGGGGCCCACACACCTCAGTTTATGCAAAATTGATTCTTTTGTCACTAAGTATGCTTCAGACTGCATTTGGTTTAAATCTCTTCACTTGTTTAGTAGGAGAAAACAAATCCTCTATTTCCCCTATTGGGCCCCGCCCCTCTGCCCCAGAGGGGCAACACCCTCCGTTTATACAAACTTGAGGCTCCTTTGTCCAAAGATGCTCTAGACCAAATTTGGTCAAAATCCTCTAAGCCGTTAAGGACTAGCAGCGTTTTAAAGGAAAAAGTTGCCAGACGCCTCCATGGCATAAGCTCACTTGGCCCTTCAAGCCAGGTGAGCTAAAGAAAAACTGACCAGCCTGTCAATTTTTACCGTTACGTGACCGTGAAATTCTTTTGATGCACATCAAAGGATCAAACTAGTCTTCTCGTCTCATCAACAAGGTGGCGCACATTGTGCCTTCAATTTTGCTATGACATATTCCAGGGGTGTAGAGAGCGAAAGTGAGCGTAACCCCTGTATATCGAGGATGACATAGGTAGCATGTTGATGACACGTATAACTTTTTGAAAATGAACGAAGATGGAAAACTAAATCTTGTCAACATTCCACCAGAAGAACATTGTAATCCTTGAAAAAATACTTTTAAGTAAATTACCTGTACAGCCACCTCTCAGTAGGTTGATCTCTGCAAACTCGCTATCACACTGTTTACATTGTTGACCAATCACAGTGTCTATACAGAAACACTGACCAGTAACGGGGTGACAGGACTGGTTCTTAGATCCATAATGGTAACAGTCGCAGCTTTTACACGAATCGGAGCCTGCTGGTCGGTAATGGTTTTCCTTCAAACAATACAGAGACATTTTGAGTTCAGACATTCATTACCGAACTAAGTAATTAAAAACAGGTAAAAGCCTTAATATTTGTATTACACTGCAACAAAACAATCCCTTTTGGTTAATTATGAACATGTTTGCTTTTAGTTTGTAGCTCTAAAAGTCAACTGAAGTTGGTGCATGAAATGTCAATTTATGGATGACAGATAATATCACCTTTACCAACATCACAAGTGCTTGGTAGGTTTCCATGCGCCCATTGGTTACCTACCCTGCAGGAGCACTCTCCTGTAGATTTGTTACAGGCCGGGTTGAAGCCCAGCTTCCTGGAGCAATTACATGGCCCACAGATGGGGTGTCCATACCAAGAGGCTGGACATGGCTGCTCGGCAACGATTTCACAGTGGTCACCATTGGTCATCAGACCACAGTCGCAGGTGTAGTTGATGTTCTGACCAAAGGTTGGGCCCCGACAGTTACCCCAGTTCTCACAGGGGTTGTACGTCTGGCAGATGTCTTCACAGTTAGGGCCAAGCGTACCTGTGACAGTAAACACCATAATTGAAATCCTTTCATTAGAAGCCAGATAATGAAAATGATAACAAATTCATATTTAATTCAATAGTTTGTCTTGCATGTAGATGTTCCATGATCTTAATGTATAATATAAAATAAATCCAAAATTTCTTACTAATGCTTACTGAATTTTTGTGACAATGTCTGATGCTGAGGTATTTCAGGTGATTACTGAAAGGCAGTTACAGTGATAGGTTCAGTTGATCACAGACAGTCCAGTCAGAAAGGAGCACCCCCAGACTCCAATCCTGGTCTGGCATTCCACTTTTACTACATGGCAAACTACATACCTGGAGGACAGATGCAAGAGTGGTCTGCCCATTGATCGACACAGGTGGCGCCAGCATGACAGGGGTTGTTATCACACGGATTGGCAATAGTGCAACCCTCGTCTACATTGTGACTCTGAGGTCGAATCAGGATGGCACTGGGTGTGTTCCCTACTCGCATGTCCTTGAAGAAAAATAGAGGTCAAATAATGTTATAATGATTGTAGCCAATTATATTGAATGGTATGCTGCACAACTTTAAAGTAGGTAGGACATAAATAACCCTTTGGCCCTATGGTTGACCTAAAATATGAGGAAGGAGGGACTTTAGTAGATTCGACCATGCATTGATCAGGATTCGTCCATTATGGTCTACAGTGGTGAAAGGGTTAACAATAATTTTACACCAATACAACAACCTTGGTCTTTAATATGAAGTAAAAAAAATTGATGGGTCAGCCTTACTTCCACACAGCCAACAAATCCTTTAGATATGGCGCCAGTGCCTATCCTCTCAGCTCCCACATATATCTGCTCAATCCTCTGGTTCTGTAGATTTCCTATGACCGTGTCAACTTTCTGGAATGACAAAATGAGAAAGTCAGAAAAATCTTTCATACCAATGACATGATTTTAGCAATAGTAAAACGTGATAGTTTATTGATTGTACCTGCAAGGTTAAGTCTTTATGCTATCTAATGCTTTGAATATTAAGATATTTGTAGCTGTGATTTTTAACATTCTCTATTAATATAAACTTCAAAATATTTATTTTACAACAATTATTAAACAAGTTATTTCAACTTATATTAATCACTCTTGTTGGCTCGGATGTTATCGCGTTGGGGGGGGGG